AGCAGCAAGGATGGACCGGCTCCCAGCAATTTATCAGAAGAATTTTACCTGAAAGAGAAAAAGAATTGAACTGAAGTTTGCTCGGAGGATAAACAGGCCAGGTGTTAAGTCAACAAGGAGGACTTTTATGGAGTTACTTTTAGCTCCCAATATAGACCAAAGAGCCAGGCAGTGTCTGAATGGCGACTTCTTTCTGATTCCTAGATTGTTGTTGGCGATAAAGTTGTTCTGATGCCCGTGAACGCAGGACAGCCACTGCATGCGAGCAACATCGAGCTTCTCGATAACCCAGGGTGCAAAGAGGTACGTTTGGGAGGAAAACAAGTAAATTCGTTGATTTTTCTCATGAGAGAGAACAAAAGGCATATAGTTTCTTTCTTTGTTTTCATAAACTTAAGTCTAGTGACACTGATGAATACTCCTAAGGTTCAAATAGATAATTATTAGTTATTGTATTGCTATTTTCAGACGGTCCTTTGGAGACATTTGTGTGGAAGTACCTACGTCATTGTCCAAAGTTGTCTTTTTTCACCTTTTGCTAGTTGAAGAAATAATTTCTGTTATAACATGGAACTGTAGTGGCATAACTGGACATTTCTTTATTAATAGGTGAATGCTGTTAATTGCAACACCAGCTGGAAAATCACTTTATTCATGAAATATAGTTCTTACCGAGAGGATGTGCTGAAAGGTGTAAGTATGTGCTGCACAGAACATTTGCTGGAAGAACCAAAGGTAGTTTTACTGAACTTCCAGATGCAAATCATGCGCATCCCCTGGCGTTCATCGTGTAGCGTGTGACTATAAAGCTATCAACCTAGAATGCGGCTGTATACTCACAAAAAGTGTTTCATTAGTTTTATCTCCTATATTTTTAAATGTAGAAATAATTGTTAAACACTAAGTAGATTGTCCAAATCAGAAAGGCACACTTGCTCCTCATGTCTTATGGTCAGCCTTTTCTTGGAAATACAGTTTCCTTGACTTGTTTTTCTAGGGTGACGTCGTTAGATTGTTTCATGCAGAACAAGAGAAATTTCTGACCTGTGATGAATATGAGAAAAAACAGCACATTTTTCTGCGTACAACCTTGCGTCAATCAGCCACTTCTGCTACTAGTTCTAAAGCACTCTGGGAAATAGAGGTGAGTGAAATATTATTTGGATTTTAATAAATATTTACATCAACGAAACAAGATTCAGTAGGCTGATTGTTTTATCGTTATAGGCTTCATTTATGATAGACGAATGAAACATTACTTTTTGTGAACTGACTTGCACTTCTTTATTCTGTGACCAAGTTGATACATTACTACTTGCTTTACCTGTCTTCTCTGGGGCCTCTCCCTCTCTTCCTCTTGTTTAATATGGGCGTATATGTGATTTTGCTTTTAAAAAATCCATTGTGCCGAAGCTGGTTTGGCTCGGTGGATAGAGCG